ATATATATATATATATATATATATATATATATATATACATTCGCGTATCGAGTCGCGTAGAGTAAGAACGCATGCACGGTAAACAATTTCAATTACGAAAAAATATCGTAAAATCGTAATTAAACAACGTGTTCGTGTTCTTCTTTCTCGTGCAAATACGCGCGCACGTGACGCGTGTAATATAATATAACGATATAACGAACGAATGAAAATTGAAAATTTATAAAGGAGAAGAGGTAAAATCGATCGATCGCCGATTCGAAGAAATATTAACCTCGATTTCATACCTCCATTTCATACACCTTCCTTTTTATCTTCGAGACAACCAACACCAACCAACACTAACTGTTCCTTAATAGTAACAATAATAACCCGTGCACACGATGAAAGCTAATCGAAAATAAAAAAAAAGAAATCGCGTTTACGTCATGCAAAAGGCATCGGCCGATTTTTTTATGCTAAATCCGAGTCTGAAATATGCCTCGTGTCACCGAGGTCATCGTTGAAGAGCACTCGGCCGCCGGTGCCATATACCGCTGCCGGCCTCAGCCAGTCAACGACGAAACGGTACGGGGAAAAGACGATGCTTCGCCTCGCCGTCCGTGCGAGGACGGTCTGCTCGGAAAACTTGGAAAAATGCGTGGATAAATCGGTGCAGAAACGCGAGTTATCCGCCTCGGCCACGATTCTTAACGCGAGCTCGAGGCGTGGGGCGCACGAGCCGCGTTTAAGATGTTTGATCGATCCCGGAACGCGGTCGAACGACACTGAAGGCCGCCGCCGCGCCTTGTCAACGACGTCGACGACGACAACCGTGCCAACCACGACGCCAAGGAAAACCTGCCTCTACGACCTTCATGTGGAAAATCGAGGTGAGTGTTCCATTTTAAAAAAACGGAATATATCCCCCGCCGTGGTTTTCATCATCACCACGGATCGATCGCGCGGTTAATCCATCCGATGTCATCCATCCATCCAGGTAAAATAACCAACTTTTCCGGCTGGTTGTTACCGGTCCAGTATCAAGAGGCGATAGCCACGTCTCATCTGCACACGAGAAGGTTCGCTTCGTTGTTCGACGTCGGTCACATGTTGCAAACCAGAGTCTCCGGGAGAGACGCCACCCAATTTTTGGAATCTCTCACCACAAGCGATTTGAAAAATTTGGGCAACGGGTGCGCCGTACTCGCCGTGTTCACGGACGAGAACGGAGGTATCCTGGACGATTTGATCGTTACGAAAGACGACGAGGATAAATATTTTCTCGTGTCAAACGCTGGAAGAAGAAAGGAAGATTCTCGATTGCTTCTTCAACAACAGGTAGATGATAAAGCGAGATTTGTATTCTTGATTGGAGAAGGAAAAAAAAAAAAAAAAAGAATATCTTATCGTTAATCTTGATTCTTTTGTTCTTCTGTTTTTTTTCTCAGGAGATATTTCTCACCCAAGGGAAATCGGTGAGCTTGGAATTTTTAGATCCGTTGAAGCAGAGTCTCGTGGCGTTACAGGGGCCCACAGCTGCGTCCGTTCTTCGATCGATCGTTGACGTCGATTTGAAGAATCTACGATTCATGAACAGCGTGGAAACCGAGGTGTTGGGAAGTCGGATAAGGATAACACGTTGCGGGTACACGGGGGAGGATGGGTTCGAGATCTCGATACCGGTTCAAATAGCGCATACCTTGGTAAAAATGATTTTAAACACGCCTGACACGAAACTAGCCGGTCTGGGAGCTAGAGATAGTTTAAGGTGAGTTAGGTCGGTCGGTTTTTTTTATCCCTTTATATTAGTTAATATTTGCCTGTGTATTGAACCGTAGGCTGGAAGCCGGTCTTTGCCTCTACGGGCAAGATATCAACGAGAAAATAACACCGATCGAAGCTGGGCTTGGTTGGCTAATAGGTCAGTGAGATGGAAGAATTATTTGTAATTCGATAATTAACGTTCGATCGAGCTCTTCTCGAGATAATCTCGTTTCATTCTTCGTTCCTCGCTACAGCTAAACGAAGAAAAGCGGAAGCAAATTTTCCAGGTGCGGCGAAGATACTTCTACAGATCGAGTCAGGGATTAAGAAGAAGCGGGTAGGGATAACGGTTGTGAATGGGCCACCAGTTAGAGCGGGAGCGTGTATATTAACGCCGGAAGGAGAACGCGTTGGCAACATCACTTCCGGTGGACCTAGTCCAACTCTCGGAAGTTATATAGCTATGGGATACGTACCACCAGAATTGGCCGAATACGGCAAAGGGGTTTTGGTCGAGGTCCGAGGGAAAACTTACAAAGCGAAAGTCACAAAAATGCCCTTTGTCAAGACGAATTATTACACTGGAAAATGAGCGGTACGATGTATCTTCTTTCATGTATAAAACTCAATCGAACGTGGATGCGATTCCTCTCTTAAATATTCTCTTTTCACTTTCGATCCCGAGCGAAAGAGCTCATCGATGAACTTTTTTTATTCGGAATGAAAGGAAAAAAAGATTATTTAAGGAAATATATTCGTAAAGAATAATTGTATTCGTATAAATCCTGTAATGAAATTGTAATTGAAAAAGAAGAACGTTACAGAATAACGAATACGATTATTCGAGTAAGTGAAATTATAATTATCAAAATAAAAGAATTTAAATTTATTACACGAGACGAGGAGAAATGCTTATTCTCGTACTACAGAATCCTCTGTGAATACGAGTACGAATTAAATTCCACGTCGATAAAGAAGTAAGTTTACCGACCTGAAAAAAATCTGTACATACTACGTATGATATAAAAGAGTTCTACTAATAAAATTTACCTTTTATGATAAATTTAAAATAAATAGTTTAATACTAAATATAGAATATTGTAATTTATACTAGAAATGTCAACAAGTAATAAATATTTCTATGAAAATATATTTATTCAGATATTTATTTATTTGTACAAATAACATTTGGATATTAGAACAATAACATTGCAGCCAATTAGCTCATATTATTTATATATATATATTATATATATATATTATTATTATATATATATAATTATTATTTATATATAATTATTTATTATATAATTTATAATTGAATTACAGAATCTATCAGTAATACGATTATAAATTAGATATACAAATAATGATGATTGCCCAGGTCTCACCGCGTGGAGGGAGGCTGCGAAAAGAGACCCACCCTATCCACGATCCCATCCACCCTCCTTTAACGTATTTTAAAAATTTATTTAACATTAATAACAATTCTTTCTTTTGATGTATTCTTGCAAAACGTTCAATCTGTGATCGTTGTGCAAAACGGACAGCAAAAGAAGTCTGAAGAAATACCAACGCGACAAACTAAATCTGAAAATAAAGACAAATTATATTTTGATCCAATTGTATAAACTCTATATAAAACATATCACAAATTAATTTGTACATGTATCAATATTTTATATCTTTACTGTCACGTGAAGATGTAAAATATTGATTCAAATACAAAATATAAAACAAACAAAAAAAAAGTGAAATATGTCTCACATATAGTTATACATATTTAACGATTTAAATACCAACACCATCACAATTACTATTACTACTAT